TGCATCTGTAGCTCTTCTCAGGAGGCTCCTTGTGACCTGTAGGCTGCTCTCATGAAGTTTACCACCTGTTTTTGTTCTGTAGTCAAAAATTGCTGACAGGCATTAATTGGCCTAATTAAGCTGTGTGCATTCTTTCTGTTATCTATGGCGATGTCAACTACAGCAGCATTAATGGGACCAGGACTTGGCTGAAGTGTCTTTAGGAACATGGCAGTCTGGGAACAGTCAGGCTGGATTAGTCCCGTGGTCTTTCTTACACAATATTGAGAGATTTCTTAACCTTGAGCGCTTAGCTCAGCTTGTACCCAAAGCAGGAGACTTAAGCCCTCTTCCCATGCGTGTGTTATCACTGACTATTGAGACCTCTGAACAGTGTTGTTCAGAGATACTTGTCCTTGAATCTCCAGGACAATGACTTCCGCATTATCTCTGTCTCCTTTTTAGGATGCTGGAAGAGGAAAAGGACAAAGAGCAGCGAGACCGAGTTTGTTCTGATGAGGAGGAGGATGAAGAAAAAGGAGGGAAGCGCGTCATGGGACCGCGAAAGAAATTTCAATGGAATGATGAAATCAGGTTTGCATAATTTAGAAATTAATTGAACCCGTGACTTGTCTTATTCTATGCAGTTGGAAGTGAAGCATTTCAGTATTGGTATCTTGTTTTCAGAGCAGCGCTGATCATCTGTATTAACAGTCAGCTTGGAGGTTTGTGGCAGACTGTGCTGTTTATGGAATCCACTATTGCATTTATTAAATCTCAGCCTTATATACATTGCAAAACTAAACTGATTTCAGGCACAGGCCAACTCTGAGAGAAGTGCTAAGAAGCCTCTGTGCAGAGGCCAAAGGAGAGGGACAGAGCTTTGGGAAAAGAAGGAACTTGGCTGAATTGCTGAAATCCTACAGACTAGACTCTTAACCAGACCAGATTTGTGCTTGTGAAAGCAGTTAAAGCTCATGGGGATTGCTGCCCCTGGCACCCAGGGGTCTGACAAAGAACAGGATGCTGGGTGAAGGGGCAAGTGGCAAAGGATGAAATGAGAATCAATCACGCTGTCTTCATCTTATTCTGTAACAAATTGGGGTGCTGCTCTGTAGATGGCTGATTCATTTAGAACCAAGCAAGCTTCACTTCCTGCCTTCTCGTTGCCTCTCAAAAAAACTGCAGAGCGGTTCAGTTCTGCGGTTGTTTATGACGCCTGTAATTCTGGCACTGGTTTACTACCTCTGCTGTTTCGGGATATTAAAATGGGAAGGGGTAAGAAGGCTTTTCTCCGCGGCGCATCGAAGTGCGTGCACACACAGAGCGAGGGATGTGCCTTTCCCTTCCTCTTTCTTGCGGAGGCAGTGCAGGGTTGGTTTTATTAGCAAGGTGTTATGCAGAGCCAGACGTGTCTTGGCATATTTATCCAGCCCCGGATAAACAGAATGACCTCCAACTGGGGAAAGTTAATCTGCGTAACTGTATTTGAAATCTTCCTGTTCTTCAGGGAGCTGCTTTGCCACTTGGTGAAGATTAAGTTGGATGGTTATGACCTTGACAAGAATAAGGCTCAGTCTCTAGAGGATTATGTGAAGACCTTCCTAGATGGAGAGGTGAAGCCCCTTTGGCCAAAAGGCTGGATGCAGGCCAGGTGAGCAAGAATCAAGTTGTACTGCAGGGATTCCTTGTCATAAGGGACCTCGGAAGGTCATTAGTCCTACCCCTGTTCAAAGAATGGCTAGCTTCAAAGTTAGATGAGAGTGTTCAGGGCCTTGTCCTATGGAGTTCTGGAAATCTCCAAGGATGGAGATTACTGCAGCATCTCTGGGTCCCTGTTCTGATACTTAATCATTCTTCGTGAAATCTTTTCTCCTTATTTCCAATCAGAATTCCCCTTGCTGCACTGAACTGAATATTCCCTCTTTTTGCTTTTTACTGTGCACCTTTGAGAATGGTCTGGCTCCATCTGCTTCGTGGCTCCCCGCCCCCCAACTCTTTAGGTAGTGGAAGACTGCCATTAGATCCTGCCTCGGTTTTCTCATTTTCCAGGCTAAGCAAACCCAGTTCCCTCCACCTCTCCTTGTATGTCCTGTGTCCCTGTTCCTCAGCCACCTTAGTGGCTCTGGACTGTCTCCAGTTTGTCGACATCTCTCTTGTATTGTGGGGACCCTGAAGCTGGATGCTGTATCCAGATGTGACCTCACAAGTGCTAAACAGAGGGGAATAAGCACTTGAACTGCTGCTGGCTGTGCTCTTGCTAATACCTGCCAGTATATAGTTAGCTCTCAGCAGTCCACCCTTGTAGCAGTGGCTCATGTTCAACTTGTCCACCAGGACCCCTGGGTCCTTTTCTGCAAGGCTGCTACATAGCCAGTTGGCCCCCAGCCTGTGTTGCTGTGTGAGGTTATTCCATCCCAGCTGCAGGACTTTGCGTTTGTCTTTGTTGAACTTCACAAGGTTTGTGTTGGCTCCTTTCTCCAGCCTGTCCAGGTCCCTGTGAATGGCAGCCCTGCCCTCCAACATATTCTTCCCCCTCCCTCCGTTTTCATATCACCCTCAAACTTATTGAGACTGCAGTCCGTGCTGTCGTCCAGGTTGTAAATGACAGTGTTGAGTAGTCTTGGCCCCCGTATTGACCTCTGATGGATGCCACTGGCAGTGACAAGTTACAAGGTAGAACCGGGACTGAGGTGAGGCTGACTGGCCTGTGGTTTCTTGAATCTGTATTACAAAGGATCACTTTGTAATCTGTCTCACGAAGGATACATTTTTCAGACACTTTGCGAAGTCTTCCCTAGATCCTAGAGTATTCCCAAAAGCAAGCAAAGCAGAAAGTTTTAGGGGCTTCGGACTTGCACATCAGAGAGCAGAGTAAGTAGGAATTTGGTGTGGTTTTCTTTACCCTATCTGGTGTCTTCACTGCTGTTTCCTGCTCTTTCACGCCCTCCATCATCCATGCCATTGAGCTGGCAATTGCAGAGAACCATACGAATTGCAGTCATTCTGCTGGGACTGTCATCAGCTTCTGGCCTGCTTTGTTTTGCTCAATAGTTTTAAAGAAAGGACAACTGTACAGTCTTACTGCTGGAATCTCTATCTCTTTGCGTTGAAAGAGCTGGGCAGCGCTGTCTTCTTCTGTCTGCTGAATTTGCTTTTTGGCTTTCATGGGGGATAAAGGAAGAAGTAGGTACCAGTTCTTAAGGGCAGTAAGTTTGTGTAGCACGTTACAGATCCATTTGGAAAAGTCCATGGCCACCTACTGCAGTAGCATGTGCATGGTTGTAGTGTGTTGTTTTAGTGTACGGGAGGTGAATGATGGCATTAAGAGGAGAGTGCAGATTCCTACTTAGTTAATGAGGATATTACCAGCTTGAGGGCCTTAGCTTGCCAAATTTTAAAAACTCTTTTCTTTGAATAAAGGAAATTAAAATCTTTTCCCCCTAGTTTGTAGGTGAAACTGTTCGTGGGCATACAGATTTTCACCTAAGACTCAGTGTAGGAGGGCCTTCCAGTGAAGTTAATTACAGAATGACTGAATAAAAGCGGTTTTCCTGGTTGCTTTCCAATGGCTCAAGGACAATGGTTTCTCCTGCTGGGACCTGATGGAGTTGGACTTGATGATCCTTATGGGTCCCTTCCAGCTTGAGATACTCTATGATTCTATGACTTTGTCGTTTAAAGACAGAGGATAGACTGACAGCCACACAGAAGGGGAATGGAGGGATTGGCAACACTAGGAGAATTGTAAACAATTTTGTGGTCAAGTCAGCTTGATTCACTGTCATCATGATCACAGAAGTTCATCTTTAAGAAGAGCTTGAAGATGGACAGAGTAGCAACTTTGTGTATGAGTTCAGAGAGGCCCTGCCATGATTCCAGTTTCTCAGGTAGCATTAAAAGGCGATTAACAGAATATAAGGTTAAAATAAGTTTCCTTTTTAAAAGAAAAAGGATGACAAAAGAGTTTGTCAGGCTGTTAATAGCAGACGGGAAGCATATTCCATATGCCAGTACTGAAGGTGTATTTATAAGCTTCTCACCCTGACATCTAAGGCGGCAGCTGAGCGGCAGCTGTTTTGGGTGAAGTAGTGTTTGTGTGAGATTCTGGTTTACTTAGCCTCAGTAGTAAAGGGTTTTGGATGAAGCTCTATTTATTGGTTGTGGTTAGTCAACTGTTACAGAAATGGTTGTGCTGATTTAAGAAGTCACCTCAGCTGTTGGCTGGGGATGCAAAGGCAACAGAGACATGCGATGTGCGAAGGCTTCTCATCCATATTGCTGTAGTGAGGCAAGGGAAGGTAACCTTTCTCTCTTGAAGTTGGTGAAGAGTTCTTGTATGATCTGCCAGCTCTCTTGGGTGATCTGTGGCAGCAGTAACGCCCAGCTTGAATGATGGTACTGCCTCTCCAGTTGGCTGTCAGCTTTTTAAGCTGATAGAGCTTTTTCCTTAGTTATTGTCCAACAACTGCCTTAACGGCCTTTCCAGCGCCTACAAGCATAGCTCCCCAGAAATGGAATTGTGTGGGGGAATTCAACAGGATTTTCCTGGAAAAGCGATGAATATTTGTTTGCTCTCTGTGGTTTTAATTTCACTAAGTCCCCTGCTGTACTGTGCAGCTCTGTCTCCAGTGATCCCAGCTGCTCTACTGGGTCTTGCTGGATATCACTTCTCATTGCTCTCTTCCCTTCTTAGGACACTGTTTAAGGAGAGCAGGCGTGTACATGGACACCTCACATCAGTCCTGTGAGTATCGCGCAGCATTGCTTTGGAGTGATAACTGGTGAACTCCGTTCCCTGGGGCCTGGGTGGATCATACAGAAGCACCTGAGCTTGCTTGGCTCCCATCAGATAGTTTGGCGCTGCTTCATTTGGGGAGGTCTAGGGAGAGGAGTCCTTTGTGTGTGACATCTCCCAACAACAGCCTTCCTGAGGTGCTTTAGCCTTACAGTAAGCTCAGAGATAAGAACTTTTCCAGGTTGCCTCCTGGCCTTGTTCAACAGACTGGAGTCAGGCCTCTGTGCTAGTCCCTGGGAGGCAGATCAAGGTAAAACGGAGCGTGATGCCAGCACTGTGATTATTGCTACCTGTTCAGTTGGTCCTTACTGGATTCTGGATTCCCTCTTTCTTGTTGCCTGGTTAAAGGAGGGGTACAATGAGCTCAAGCTAGTGAAGATGGGTGAAACAGGCTTGTGGGTGACAAACCAAGAGAGCCATTGGAATCCAGCTGGGCAGGTGCTTTAATGCCAAAGGGTCTCATGGATCTTGCTGGCAGTCTATAATAGATGATGATATGGACTTAGGCTGATGTCTGTTTGACAGACGGTCCTGTTCTTGGCACTGGATGAGCAAGGGGAAGTGTGAGAAAGAGTATGAAATAGAGTGCAGAGTCATCCTTCCCTCAGCCATACCATTCTGGCCTTCAGGGATGTCTTGTACCAGAGATTGCATCTGACCAGACCAAATGATCTATTTTCCGTGAATTTGGCAGATGCTTTTGCATCCTTGACTTCTTCTGGGAACCTAAAAGAAATGTGTAACTTTTCTCCAAAACAGTCTCTGTATCAGTTTCTCTCTGGGTATTGCTATTAGTCAGGTCAGCAGTGGGTTCCTGTAGAAGCTCCTAGCCCTGCAGCCGGTACACGGTGTGTCTGTTGAGTGCTTTCACTGCTCTGCTACCATTTCAAGACTCTGCTCCGATCCCTAATTCATTCCCCTGTGTGGGAGTTGGGGCTTCCTAGAGCAGCAACCAAATGTCATACGGTTTTGAATCCTAGCAACCTGAGATGCTGCCTCTGTTCCCTTGGTTCTTTGCAAAAGACTCAGTGGATCATCATTAACAGGGCCCAAGTGTGCTCCCTAATTGGATGCTTCCCTGCGGGCATTCAGTGAGCCATGTTTCTTTTGTCTCCCTCAAAACAGGGTGAAGAAGAAAGTTATAGCTCCTACTAAGGTGAAAGTGAAGGTGAGTTCTTTGTTTTCTGGTTCTCATGGTTGACATACACCAAGAGTCAAGTGTCTGCCATCTTAAATCCTATATTTGAGCCTTGTTTCTATACATTAGGTACAAGGAAGTTGTACTGTGAAATAGCTTTAGTCAGTATTGGGCTTAAAAAAACAACTAAAACAGCAGCTAAAATTGATGGCAGCAGCAGTCGGGAGGGAGGCGGGGGGATGGCTGGCACAGAACATGCCTATTCTGCCTTTTATCCCCAAATCAGGAACCTTCCCTTCCCTTTTCAGCAGAAAACCCTGCTTCTCTTCTCACTCTGCCTTCTCTTGTGGTTTTGTTCCAGGAATCTTCCTGCAAGCCAGATAAAAAGGTGTCGGTTTCTGTTCCTTCGATGCACTCAAGCAGCACCTTAGCTCTGTCTTCAGAGCCCCAGGGAGGAGCTCTGGGCATCAGTGCCCAAACCAGAGAACTCTTGTCCCTTGGGACAGCCCAAGCAGCCAGCAGCACTGGCACTCCGGCTACCTTCATGGATGACTCCTTGGATGAGGACTTAATTCATAATCCCACTTCCTCCCTCGAAGCAGTCTCTAAGGAACTGGCTGTGCTGAACAGCAGAGCGGGAGGGAGCCCTGACTTTACTCTTCCTGGAGCTCCAAAAGCTCCATCAGAGAAGATCCCAACTCTTGCATCCTCAGAGGAGAAGAGGACATTTCCAAAGTCCAACCCTGCCCCTACATCATCCTCTGGTTCCCTCCAGTCTCCGCTAAATTTCCTGGCTGAGCAGGCCCTGGCATTGGGCCAATCTTCTCAAGACAAAAAGGCAGAGAACTCTAATTACAAAGAGCTCTCTTGCCAAGCCTCCCCCAGCAAAATCCTTCCTGATGCACACCAGGCTAAACAGAAACACCACAGCCTGGTCCGGCCAAGCCACGGGCCTCAGACCTCCACCCCAGTGCCGGGTTCTCAGGTGAAGGTCTTTCACTCAGGCAGCCAGCTACAGAAAACTTTCACCTCCCCGGCTCCGTTTGTCAAACTGCAGAATCCCAAGTCCTCCTCCCCACTGCCCCAACGCTCCCTCCTCCAGCAGGTCAAGTCATCAACCAAAGCTCAGAGCTTCCATTCCTCTGCGTCACCAGGCAGCACCCAAAACTCCGGCAGCTCCCACAAGAGCGCAGGCTCATCCTCATCATCTCTCAGCTACACAGGAAAGCACTCAAGTGGCTCTAGCTCTTCAGGACAATCTTACAAATCGCCCTTCGTTTCTGGTTCCCTCTCCAAGCACGGGTCTTCTTCCAGCAGCTCCTCATCTGGAGCTTCTGCAAACCAGGGCTGCTCCTCTGGGAGCTTGCTGCCCAGTGTGCAGACCCCTTCCTCGGGCCAGGCGTCCAGCCGCCCGTCCTCCAGCTCCTCGGTGAAGAAGACTCCCGTTTCGCAGAAGCTGACTCTGGTGGCACCTCCCGGAGGTTCAAACGGAGATTCTAGCGGGGGCACTCAAGGAGTGGCCAAATTGCTGACCTCCTCCCTAAAGCCAGCTGTTGTTAGCAGCACCGCATCTTCTACCTCTGTGCCGGTAAGCAGGGGTGTGCTGGCCTAGCCTAAAGCCAGGAGAACGCATGGCACTGTGTCAGGCCATCTTCTAACTTGTTCAGACCTGCCATAAAGTGATGACTTCAAAAGAATTTCCTGAAATTCTTGAATGACTGTCTGGATCTTGGCTGCTTAGGCTAGGGAGTCCTGGCCTTTGCCACGGGCTTGCACTCCAGAATTCAAGCTTTCATTTTCAGCTTAAAGTAACAACTGAGCAAAATACTGTTCAATAATGTCTCATGAAGGACTCCTGGGTTACCTATACAGACTTGTATTCTTCAGCCATTGTATTTAATGATATAAGGACCTTAATTTTCATCTATAGCAAAACAGTAATCGTTCCTAACGCTGTAGGATTAATTTGTTGTTGGCTGCTCATATCTGCTTTCTTTTGTGGCATGTGGAAAGAGCTGGGCAATTAAATGAGTATATTTAAATGGGCCTGAAAACCATGTACTGCTCAGCCTGTGTACCTTGTCTGTTACTGAGATGGAGAGCTGAAAAGCATTCCCCGGTGGTATCTCTCTCCATGGGAGAGATCTCAGATAACGTTCTTGGGTGCAGGGGTACACCAAACCTTGGTGCCTTCAGTTGTCAGCAGTGATACTCTGCTAGAAGTGAGTAGAAGCATCCGCCCTGGAACTCACAGGCAGTGTGTAAGCTTTTCCTCTGCCTAATGGAGGCACAGTTCCAGAGTAAGGGAACAACAGAGAGAAATCCAGTATGGTCACACTTAAAAGAGCTTAGCATCCAGCAGCTGGATGGCCAGTGTCCTGGGCACCTCCAGATGGCCTCAGGAGTTGGCAGTGCCTGGGCCCTGGCTGGGAGGGCGCTTCTTGCAAGGAGGAATACTTGAGCGCTCTATATTTTGCAGTTCTTCTTTAAGTATGAATGATGCTATGCCTTGGTTTTCCTACTCCTGACTGACCTTTTCTATTGCTTTTCAGAAAGGAACTAGTGGAGCAGTGCTGCTAACGAGTTCTTCCTCGTTAAGTGTACTGGCTCCATCCTACAAGTCCAGCAATCCAAAGCTGCCAGCTGCCCTGAGCTCCACCCCGTTAGGTATTATCTCTCCTATTCATTCCTTCCCTCTTCATGTCATCTCCTTCAGTTCAGACTCCTCCCCAAAAGCAGGAGTATCAAAGGATGCAATAGTTACGGGACCTGCTCCAGGAACTTTCCACCATGGCCTTGGCCACAGTGAGTATCCTTCCTAGTCATGCATGTGTGTGTTACTTGTGCCTGTGCTGTCAAATAACAAGAACGCCAATGCTCTGCTGTGTTAACCCATTGCAGACCAACCCATCTCTCTTGCTGTTGCTTCATGCTGTAGTTCCTGCACTTAAATCTCCAGCGGTTGCATTTGGAGAACCTTGGGCACATCTCTATAGCTAGCCCAGAAGTCCCAATAGCTAGAAGCTGAGCTATAGGCTAACTGCTGCAGCTCTTCTGCTCATTTCTGTCTTAGATGTGTATTTGTTCTTTTTTTCCCCTCTCCTTTCTTTGTTTTTCTCTCTAGGTCTTCTAGCTGGCTTGCACTCCAGCCCCCACCATGCAGCGTCACTCCCACATTCTGCCCTGTCCACTCATTTACCGCAAAGTTTGCCAGGTAACTTGTCAGACGGTCGTGTTTGTCTTCTGCGCCGTGAGTCATCCTCTATCTCAGCAGATACTTCCTCCAGGGGTGAAAGCAAAGTGGTTGTCTACGTTGTCCGACCGGTGCAGTCGTTGCTAAAACCTGCGGCCTCCCCGAGATACAAAGCGAGGCACAGCCCTCTGTCCTTCACTGTTTAGTTAGCCAGGGCAAACTTGTGTGTTTCTGGAATAATGAGCCCTCAGTGCTTATAGCAAGTGTTGGTTCCTGGAGGTACTCAGCTTTGCTGCTTGCGTCGTGGTGAAGAATTACCCTGCCGGGATTAAAGCTGTGGATGTTTATGCACAGTCTGCTAGGACTGCCCAGGAATGAATATTCTGGCTCTGTGGAGTTTTGTTTTTGGTGACCTATATAAAATGTGTCAGACCAGAATGTCTTGCATCTGTGCACTGAGCTAATTGCCTGCATCTCCTTCGTGACAAGTTTGTAGTGTAAATGGAGACTGCTTTACTGGTGTTGACAATGTGATGATTTTGCAGTTAAGCCTGTTCCTGCCCCAGTTTGATGCCTGCAGAAGAATGCATAAAACAGGAGATTTCCGAAGAACACCTTCTCTGCTCGTAAATGGAGTCCTGCCTGGTGGGCTGTGAGCATGTGTAAATACAGTAGCACTGTGGAGGAAGGAGGCGAGTAAGAGGGACCCATGCAGCATTCAAAAAATCGAAATGCAGGGCCAGCAGATCAGGCTTATCTGCTTCAGGGAGTTGCTTATCCCATTGGTAATTGCTATTTCTGCTTTCTTGATCAAGTGTTCTTTAGCACTTCAGTGCGGTTCAGTGCTGCTGTCTTAGTACCTGCTCCTGTTGTGATTGTCTTACTGGGCAATACGAGCCTGATTTAGGAGTGGATGTGCTAGCCTGGTATTGTGGCACTGGGGCCATTAGATGCGTGGATAACCCACCGGAGTTTATGTGGCCTCCTGTAGCATTCATGGGGTAAAATGCCCTTGACTGCTGAGCGCAGTGCTTGTTTGATGAAGAAAGAAGAGTGCTGTGCACTGGTGAAAATTCGAAGAATTTGTCGTCTGTGCTTCTTTCGCTGAAGTTTGTCTGTGGCAGGTTGTTACGCTACTCTGATGCGGTGGAGCAGAAGAAGGAGGTACTAGCAGCAATCCCTGGTGTGACAGACCCTTCCTTTCTGTTTGCAAATTCACGGTTACTGGAGAGTGAGATGATTGATTTCGGTTTGAACGTGGGATGTGAAACGTATTCTGTGTCACTGAGAAGGAGTTCTCTGTCCCATTATTTGAGGGAATTTAGAGTGGTTACTTCACTGTTGCTTATAGGGCTTATAACAAAAGAATTTTTTGGTGGACTGCTGCTCTTAAGCAGGACATAGTGCTAGAAGCTGCGAGTAGACAAAAGGTGACTAGGAATAAGTGAAGAAAAACTGACCAGTGAGACAGCTTCAGCAGGGACCCGCTTTCTCACTTGGTGTTTTCACATAAAGATTGGAGATTGAGCCTAGTGCTATCATCTCTGGGAGTATTACCAATTGTGGTGTTTTGTAGAAGAACACAGTAGATATTTAAGTGATCACCATAATCTTAAAAGGTATTGATTTGTTTTGTGGAATAAACTGTGGTTGGCTGTATAAGCAGATGGCCAGAGCTGCATTGCTCTGTCTGAAAGCTGCGAGGACTCTGGTGTGTTGGGCGGTTGCTACAAATGCAAGGAAACGTTGATGTCTTAAACAAAAGTGCTTATACCAGCATTCATCAAAAAGCATTTGAGCAAGGAGCATCCAGTGCTTGCTTGTGTGTTGTCACTGCTGTATTTGCTGGTGGAGGTGCCTGTGTGCTGGTGCTGTGGCGATGGTTCTGACTGCTCGCTTTAGAAATGTGATGTGCTGGGACTGAGCTCTTGCATGGAATGAACTGTCCTTGTCCTGGAGAAGAAGCTGTTGCCACACTGCTCGGTGCCACTGCTGCTTAACTGCACCTCTCAGTACACCCATTTGTTCGTCATAGTCTGATGGTAGTTCTAATTGCTCCTGGAAAACTTCTGCATCCTTAAACTTCCTTCCTTTTTCTCTCTTCGGTGCATTTTCTCTTTTCCCTCCATGTCTGTTCCTTTCTGTTACTTCAGTGGTTAGATTCCTATGATTCCTGTTGCTATCAGTGGGAACCTAAAGCCTTCATTACAACGACAAAGGTGTACTAACTGTTATTTCAAACCACCTTTAGATGCAAGGCAGCCAGTACCATGTATTTCTAGTTTCCTAGATGGGGAGACATGGTAGGGTGGCTTTTAGAGAAGGGCATCGGCTAGCTAGTCGATGAGCAATCTGAATCTGTGCCGTGGTGCTTTTTCTGGGAGGCCACAGGAGACCCTCAGTGCTTCCTGCAACCCTTACTCAGGCGCAGGCATCCCCATTGTGAGATGTCTCCAAGCACCTCCTCTTACCCCCTGATTCCTTGGTGCTGGAAGGGAAAAGGAGGTCTTTGTGCGGAGAGATCTGTCCGCCCCAACTGCACGCAGCTCCGTGGAGCTGATGCCGAACCCCCTTCCCACTTGATTTTATTTTCTTTCAGATGCTTCTCAGCTTCACGGCAAAGGGTCCAATGCACAGCAGCGCAAGTTGTGACATCTGCAAGGAGGGGAGCTAGAGCACACATAGGATAAAACCAAGAGGAACAGGTCATGAACTTTGGATACCAGCTGTGTCTTTTTTTTTTTTCTTTTCTTTGTCCTCACGACAACTGGAGAGACTGAACCGCAATGAGGAACTCATTGGTGCGTTTGCTCAGAGGCTTTCAGAGCTAAGCCCCACACAAAGGGCCACCTTGAGCCATGCCCTAATGAGAGAAGCATTTTGTAGCACTGTTTTATTGCTGCTGCCCTTCACGCATTCCCTGGCACTGGCAGGAGCTAGAACTCGCAGGGAGGCTCGGGTGGCTTGGCTTTCTTGCAGTGGATTCCTGCCCACCTGTGTCTATATCTGCCAAGTACCTCCAAGTCCAGTTACCTCCTTGGTCTCCGAGTGGAGGGTATGAAAGGTGCTTCTTTCTTCTGCTTTGGATTTACTTGGATAATTCTAGCACTGCCAGTGCTTTCTGAAGACGTTTGACTAACTTTTCAATTGTACTATAAAACTGTGCTACAGTTAATAGGAGGACTTCACATTTCCTGTGTGGTGAATCTAATGAACCACCTGATGTTCCCCTCTGGAGGAGAAGGAAGACTCTTTAGAGAGACGTTTTTAGATGCAGTTGTTGACTTTGAGAATTTTACTTCTTTTGGGTTTTGGATTTTTTTTCCTCCTGCTCAGTTTTATCCTCATTACCATCGAATGCATTGGATTGAATGGGACGCTTCTCAGCATGTCACGTGTATAGGAAGACATAATTCCAGTGCCTTTTATGGTGGAGCAAGAATGGACTAGTGACACGCATTTCAGCCCTGTTTTGTGTGCTCCTCAACCCTTTTTTAATCATTCTGTATTTAAAATGTATTCTGTTTTATTTAATAGAGCTTTTTATGGTTGCACATCAAAAAAAAAGCTGCACTGTCTGGACTTCAATGGTGTCTTGGTGACTGAGAACACAGTACCAAATCCAGCAAGAGCACCAGTTCTTATCCGAGTTTGTGCAAGTGGGTTCCAGACCCTCCCCTAAAGCCATTCTTTCCTAGGGTCGTCAGTTAGGATCTCTTTGGTGGGCAGAGGGAATGATCTAGATTAACCAAGGTCACTACTAGTCAAATGAATTCCAGAGAATAGTATTGCTCTCCTCGATGATTTCTGCACTAGGATCATGTGCTTGTCACAGCTGCAGGAATGGGGACCATCTAGAATTGGGGTGTGTCTTTTCTTTTTAATTTTTTAACTCTTGCACCTGAATACTTCTCCTGAGCACACCCTTTCAACCTGTGTGTAGCTAAGGGCGGGCTGTGGTTCCAACTGAGCTTTATGGGTTTTGATTTTCTGCTCTTCCCCCAGTCTGCCTTTTCTCAGGCCCCACAGCCACATCTGAATCATGCAGTAGTAGTGCTGATCCGCAGAGACTGTACTGGTAATTCGAGCAAAAGCTTGCAGCCTTCCTTCCTGAGCTTTGGGGAAGGATGCTGACACTGAGTATACCAGCAAATACCTGCTTTAGTTTTCCCCATTTTTGGTAATATCCAAGACGGACTGTTTTCAATTTGAGCTGATACATAATTTCCCAAGATCAGTGCATTGTTTGTATTTTAAAAAAGAAATGCAGCTCAGATTTAAAATTCGTTTACAGAAGATACCTAGGTTGTAGCAAAAGAGCCAAAGACAGAACTTGTGTTATTAAAACTAAGCACAGCAGTTATGGATGGACTCTGAGCAGTGGATGTCGCATGGTTCCCGTTGAAGGCCTAATCCTGAGAGGTACTTTGCACCTTCAACTTCCCGTGGTAGCGTAAAGAGCGTTCCAACACCTGGCAGGATAGGAGCCCTCAGCGAGTGACTCGAGGTACTGGTTCTACTCCCTCTCTTTGCTTTCACTTGAATGCTTCTGCTGGGAGGCACCCGTGTGCGTGGCCAGAGCAGAATGCCCTCCTTCTAGGAATTTAGCGAAGCCTCTTGCCTCAGGGAAATGTTTATTTGGTGGAAATTCTGTGGGATATTTTTTTCTTTACATGCTATAATGAATGAGTGAATGGTATGGAGCAGAGTCGCAGCAAGGCAGAACCACGCCGAGACCCGACAGCTTATGGGGAGCCGGGAGTCTGGCAGCTCTGCCTTGACGGGGCAACTTGCAACGCTTTCGTGACGGTGTGGGGAGGCGAGGCTCCCGTGGCACTTACTTCGTATGGCAGTTCCTTTCGGGTGTAAAAGCTGCGGGTTACTACTTTTTTTTTTTTTTTTTTCTTTTGTGTGTGTTGGGACTGTCTTGCTGAAGATGGTGGGGGTGGTATGAAAACTGTTAATCTTGTACAGAACAACTGAATAAATTGTTTCAAAGTTTCCAAAATGCTTTTTTCCATCTCCTTACCTCTAGTTTCATGACTTTGTTTTCAAGAATTTGTCTTTCAGCTTAGATGATCACCTCTTGATCATCTTGTTTCTTGAGTGACTAATGAATTATTTACTGTTTTAACTGAAGTCTCTTACGTGGCAAGTAAATTACAACTCTGTCTTCAGCCGTTGTGGTGGTAGAATTGCACGTTCTCGTTCAGTGTGCTCCTGCTGATGCTTGAAGTTGACATCTGCTGGAAAGAGCAAGTGGGGTTCAGACCCCCGAGCAACAGTGGGATCCTGCGTGATCCTCTCATTCACAGAGGTAAAATAATGGTGTTGATCCCCAAGGGCAGGATGGATGTGCAGTGAATGCTTACGGCAGAGTTTACTGGGGTTCGGGTATTAGCCGAAATTTGGGAAAAAGGAAATGAACGTGCTCTAGATGTGGAAGCCCCTGGGACCATCCCAGTGCAATTCCCTGTTTTCCTGCAGCCATAGTCCCATTCGTTAGTGCAGTTCCCTCCCGTCTAATGCTCCTAATTAGTCCCGGCTCTAATGCTGCTCCAGCAATTTCCCTCTTGGAAAAGAGTCAACAGCTAAAACGAAGAGTCTTTTTTTTTTTTTTTTTTTTTTTTTTTTTTTTTATTTTTCTTTAACTTTGACTCTGAAATGGCATCTTTCTGTAAAGCCAAAGATGAAGAGACTGCCATAATTAATAAAGGAAAACCAACTTCTAATTGGAACCGCTGCATTTTTATTTTGTACTATAAATAGAATTCCCCTCTATTTCCCATTCCCTTACACAAGTAAATGAAACATGTAGCTGCATGTAACTCCATCAGTAAAATACCAGCACAAATGGCTTTTAACCATGAGGTAAGCTAACTGTGTTTCGAAGGCACTCTGCGTTTGGTTACAGCTGCATGCTTTACACTACCCTCTTGTGTTTGGCAACACTGCCGTCTCTTCACGTACTTCTCGGTGACCTCTGTGGTGTATGAATGCTCCTCCTGGATCCTCGGCTGACGCCATCAAATTACATCTGCTTCGCTCTTCCCCAGCAGCATAGGCACGTAGGTGAACAAAATGATGGTGTTTAGGTATCGATGTGGTGATAGTGAATTGAGATGTGTAGCACACCTTTGTTTTTACAGAGCTGGTTTTCTCAGAGGACGATCCTGTCATTTAGTCGGTTGTCCATGATGAAACTGTCTGGCTTACCAACATGCAGCTGACGTAACCAGCTCCTGCTGGTCACCTCGGAGTCATCTTGACCTTCAGTCTCTCTAGTGAGTGCTGTATACAGCTTTTTATGTGACTACGCGAGTATACGTTGAGGAAACTGCAGGTCCTTGGACTTCAGGTACTTCACTGTCCTAAGGCTTTTTGTCTTGGTTTTTGTTAGGCTGAGTGATTAGGTAGGGATGAAGAGGGGGAGAAGGTTTTGCTGTAGTCCTGACAAATGTGTTTTCCACTACTGGTGGTGCTTTTCTGCAGCGTATGACAGCAAGCAGTGTGGCTTCGTAGCATGGCTGGGGCAGAGGCTCTAGCATTTTGGAAGACGCAAAGGAGGGCAAGGATTTGCGGTGATCTGGAAGTCTAACAAGTGGTGCAGCTCTGACTAGCTGCTCTTAAGAAAAAGTTTCTAAAGTGGAGGGAGCGCTGTGTAATTACTTCCGGACACCAAGACTGCCAACTCCTGGATCGACAGCTCCTTGTTGAGGTAACTGTTGTACTGAGCCATGGTTAGCCTTCCACTCTTCAAGGCATCCTCAATTGAGAACTCTCTACCAGACTTTCTGTCGAGGATCACAGATGATTCCCCGTTGGGACCCTTTATTGAGATCTCCTCCCAGTCACATTCCTGACTCTTCAGTTTGACAAACAGGCTCCATTCAATGAGGCCAAACACATGAGCTTCCTCTGGAGACATTTCTTTTCCTGTGTCGGGGTCAATGACCACAATGGAGCGCCTCAGGTGGTTCTCCCTTTGCTCCCTCTTGATAGCCACTGTCTTGAGGCGATTCTGGAGTTGCTCGATCTCTGCGTCTTTTTCTCTGGATAACTGCTTCAGATCATCTAACTCTCTTTCCAAAGCTTGGAATCTGGAGTCCAGGTTTATTCCACTGTCCACGTGGGTCATGTTTCTCAAATCCCGAGCTTCTGTTGCTGTGAGTTCAATCTCTGACTGCAGTCTCCTTGTTTCCATCAGCAGGTTCTGTTTCTCAAGGTGCAGTTTGTGGTTTTCCTCCCTTAGTAAGTCTAGCTCCTTTGAGGACTTGGAGTTGTTGAATTCCACCTCGGACAGCCTGGTTTCGAGGCGGTTGATATCTGCATCTAGCTCCCTCTTACGCCTACTTTCTTCCTCCAGATTGCTCTTCAGCTTTTGAATCTCGTACTCCGTTTCTCCTTTGTCCACTTGGACGCTCTCTGAAAAGACCACTTTCTCTTTGACCTCCATCTTCTCCAAAGAAAGGAGCTTCTTTCTCAAGGCTTCTAGTTCAGTTTGCAAGACTTGTCTCCGGTGCTTTTCTTCTTCTAGCTCCAGCTTGAGGAGGGAGTGCTCCTTCTCTTGCTGGGGATCTTGCTGAAGGATCACTTTCTGTTTCACAGTCACTCGTTCTGTTGTCTCCCTCTCCTGTTCTTCCAACTCATTCAACCTAATCTTCAGCCTCTGCACCTCCAGTTCAGCCTCTCTGCGGGCCTGTCTCTCTTTCTCAAGTTCTTCTAGCTGACGCTCTAGCTCAGACCGCCTCCTCTGCAGCTTGCGGAGTTCTTCACGGAGGCAATCAATTTGCTTCAGCTCGCTCTCAATGCTCTGAGAGAAGGAGTTGACTTCAGCTTTCAAGGCAGGATCTTGCTCATACTTCACTACTTCCTGTTGGACCACTTTCTCCTTCACCTGGGAAAGTTCTTCCTCCTTCTGTCTCACTTTCTCTTCTTGGAGTAGCCGTTCCCTCTCCAGGTCAATGTGTTTCATCTGTTCATCTGCTAGCTGCACTCTCAGAGACTCTACCTCCTCTCTAGTCTTGGGGTCTTCCCGAAACTGCAGAATTTCTTGAACAACTTCCTTCATGTGCACTTGAGGTTTGGTATCTTTCAAAGCTTGTATCTCTTGTTTCAGCTGGTAGATCTCAAGGTCAGCTCTTTCAATTGCTCCTGTCCTCTCTATGATTTCCTCCCGGAGTCGCTGTAGCTCCTTTTCAGTTTCTGGATCATTCTTGTACTTAATGACCTCCTTAATGACTTCTTTGACTTCTACCAGTGGCCCTCTGTTCCTCAGAGCGGCCAACTCATTCTGGCAGCTCTTCAGCTGTTCGTCACCACCTCGGTATCTCCTCTCCTGCTCTACCAGCTCCAAACGAAGGTTGGCAACTTCATTTTCAGCCTTGGGATCTGGGCGCACAATCTCACGCACTTTCTCCTGGACAACCACCTTGGCGTTCTCTTCCTCCAGCAGCTGGATCTTCCTGAGCAGCTCAGCCTTTTCCCGCTCGTTGGAACGACCCTTGGACTTCTCATCTTCGTACTGGCGCCGGAGCTCGTTCACCTCTCTCTCAATGGCTAAGTCT